TTTCTCAGAGTGTCTTCATTTTAATTCATTGCCCAGGGCTGCTCAACAGAAAGAGGAGGGCAACACTCCAAGGAAAACATCCCTGAGTGACCTTCAATGCCACCAGTTAATCCCTCTGCTCCAGGGGCCTCACTCCAGCCCAGTGCCAGAGCACTGCCAGTTCACATGAGCAGCAAGTTTGGGTTCAGTTATGGGACTTAAGCCAAAAATGGAATAGCAACCACTAACTCCACATCTTTTAGGAAATACAGACTTCCATGTGAGAGTTCCTTACCACTTCCACGAGATTTCCAAGCCTATAAAGTGTCACACTGAGCCACATTTGTAACCCATCTAGTCAATCAGGCTGTGATTGCTATTTGACTGCCCCTGAGTATTTGCCTGTAAATCAGTTTCTTATTTCAGAAAGGTACCTTTGGATGTAGTCCCAGATTCTGGCAAGTGGCAAGAGTGCAGCAGGGCAAAAGAGGAATCTTGCAGTCATGAGTGGTTTTGCCCAGGTAGAAGTTTTACAACTTGTACACACAGAGTTACAGGAAACAATTTATTCCCTACAGCTATTCTGAAATCACACCTCTTTCTGAGACTGAATCTAGACAATATTCCATATCCTATCCTTTCTTACAGGGCTAGGAACTAGGGGAAACAGACCATTTTTGTGAAGAATCCTCAGTGTTTGAAAGAGCCTGCATGAATCTTCGTTTCTCCTCATCATCTGTAGGACTCTATGACACACACACAGGAGGAAAACATTTTAAGTACATCCTCCCAGCCTGAGTTCAAAGGAAAGTGAGCTGGACAAGATGTGCCAAAGGGTTTAACATCTACACCTTTCCTATAGAACATTGTTTTGTCCTTCACACTGTGTGAGGAGACACCCACATGTGTTTTCCACTTTCATTGTGAAAGCAGGAAATGTTTAATTAAAATCAAGCTTAACCCACTTTGTTTTTTCTTCATGCTGAAGTAACATCAGCTGCTAAGAGGGAGGATCTGTGAGTCCTGGAACACAAGTGGCCTCACCCAGCAGAGGGATGGAGCTGGAGAGATCCAAACAGATCTTCTGGGATGATGTGTGTGTCCCTGGGGTATGGGAACAAATTAGGTCATGTACCTGAAGGGGTACTTGTGGTGGGCTGAGAAAATTCAATCCAGATGGTTGTACTGGGCCAAAGTCTGCTGCATTTATACAAAATAACAGAAAATAGGGATGGCAGGTAACTCACCACAAGATACAATCCTCCTGCCTTTCTCTGTGTCACCCTGGTGAACCATGGTGGCTGGGAGCTAGGAGAGCTGAGGTAAGGACAGCTACAGGTACTGCACCCCAGCATTGTCCCAAACCCAGCAGCTGTGGGTGGAGGTACCAAATTAGTTAAAGAAACTCAGAGCCATGACTGATTTATATCCTCACTGGGTCAGACCAAAGGAAGGACACTCTATCTATCTTAATCTTAAGTACAGATTTTATCATGTGTCCCCTTTCACTTGCCAGGGTCTGAAGGACTTTTCAGCCCCCTTTCAGTGGCCATAAAGCAACACAAATCTTTGTTCTGTTTAGTAATGCAGGAAACAGTCTATGCTGGGTGGCTTGGGAGGAAGGTTAAGGCTGCATTTTCTTTTCCCAGGGATAGCCCCACTTCCAATTACATATCATTATGTGTCAAGCACAACTCCATTTTCCACAGAAGGTGGTCTCAAGTGCTTTTTGCTATGGCACTTCAAGTGCCAGGAGAGGTACTATTCTCCAGGAAAAAAGAAAAAGTATAGTTGTGTAACAGGAACTTTCCATGCAATGATTAGAGTAAAGTCCTTGGAGACATCCATCAGACCACTTTGGAGAATTCTGTAGCATCAAGGTAAGCTCTGATCAATATACTCTAAAGAACATAATTATTTCCAGTAACGTTTTCACCAACTCAGATGCTCTTGAAATGGAAGTATTGTTCAAATAATTCAGTGTTTTGGGTCAAATCTCTCCGTGCAATTTTCTTGTAGATGATGAGTGATCCAAGTCAAGCTAGAAGCAAATTAACGTTTGCAATTTTAATAAATTTCCCAGCCAGGTGTTAACTTTCTCATTTGCAAGGAAATTTTGCAGCAGCTTGTCAAAGCTGTGAAGTGCTATTTAAAACCCTTTGGGATTGTCCTATTTATCAACATAATCACTGGCATTTTTCTATAATTTAGATGGGGTCTTTAGTTCTTAGAAGAACACCAGCCAGAATATAGTGCTAGCCAGGATCCCATTATCAGAAGACAACCCCTGCCCATGGAAGCATAATCCCTGTCTCAAACACCATATTAAAGTCAGCTAAAATTGCTTCCCCAGTTACCAATGGAGAATCTGAGGATAAGAAGTACAAAAGTTACTCAGAAAGTAGGATTCCTTTCTTCCATGAAATTGTAACATCTTGCAGCAAAGGGAAGGCTGAAAGACAATGGATTTACCTAAACATTTGTTGTGTTTATGAATCTGAAGTGGAAAGATGATGGGAGGAACTATCCTGTATATCAGTGCTACAGCAGAAGAGGTTTGTCTCCAGTTTTAATCTCTCTTCTTGTGTTCCCTGCATTCCCCCTTTGGCCCATCCTGACATCATCCATGCTTTAACACTTTGGTCCCTTCCTCCTGTTTTCCCTAGAGAAAGGGAAGTAAGCAGAAGTTGAAATGAGCTCAGGAAAGAGCTCAGGGCAGAACAAGAGCATAAAGTACTGGGGCTCACAGGGCTGAGGTACAGCAGTGTTATTTCCTCAGCTTCAGAGCTATAAAATGACAAGCAGCAGCACACAAACATGTTGTCATGACAATGAGTGTGATAAAAAATGGGGATTTCTTTGCATGGCTGATGCAAAATGAGGAAAGGTAACCAGGACAGCAATAAACACTTGAGAGAGTTCACTGTGTTGAGGAGCAAGGCAGCAGCACAGAGTTTGAAACATGATTAGAGACAAATAATTTGTAATTAATGAGATGATCCAAGCTTTCCTATCTGTATTGAGGGACAGTAGTACAGTGTAAGCTATTCCAGCCTTACCCAGCACCTGCAAACTGACCCTTCTGCATGGCTGCAGCACCACATCCAACCAAGAAAGGTGCAAAAAGAACCTGTGGGTCAAACATATAGTACAGTCTAATGCCTTGAGAATGTAAAAGAGGTGAGAAATTGAGAGATACAGAAGAGAACACATTAAAATCGATAATAATTGCACATGCTAAGTGTGAGCCATAGCACAGTGCTCTCTGTCACTCAGGCAGGGTGAGTTGAAGGGACAGTGTACAAATCCAACAGTCACAGCTTGAAGACCCTGTGTGCTCATCACTGCAAAACTTTCTGTGAAAAAAATCTCAGCTCATTCAATTTTTTTAAACCTTTTTCCCCTGTTCAAGCCTTTTTTCCTTGTCACTGATCAGATCAGTGACATAAGAATGCCATGCCATGACCTGACAACAGGCTGCCTCAAAATGTGCAGTTCTCTTGCTAAAGAATTCTTTATTCCTTCTCTCTTGTGTTCATGAATTATTTACCTTTGATCCTAAGGAAGCTGATAATGGCTCATTTCAGACAAAAGACAAACTGATAGTAAGAGATCTCTCAGCTCATAGGAGCTTGTTTTCAAGTCAAAACCTAGTGGCTCAGATCCAGCCAGCTGCCTGAGTTTCTGGATGTGGCTCTTGAGCAAGGTTTTAAGACTCCATCCAGGACTGTGTAATTGATGAGGAGCCATATTTTTGAGCTTCCAGGGAAGACATATCAAGCAATAAGGAATAATGGAGTCCAGCCAGACATATTTAGTGAACTTTGTGGATCAGCCCATCCACGGGTCTTGTGTTCACAGAAAATAAAATCTCTATTCCTTTCTAGTCTCAGTGTCATCTCTCTCTCTCAAAGGAGACAGTCCTTGTTATGTTAATTCCAAAGGCAGGAACAGGCTGTACCTTTCTGTTTGATCACATTTGTGTTCTGCTTTGTGATCTGTTCAGGATCTCAGCTGCTTCACTAAGACTGCTCCACAGCCCACTAGATCACACCAGCAGGAAGTTTTTCATGATATTCCTACTTCTTCTTCAGCTGCTGTAGCTATGTTCACAAGACAAGTGTCTTGTCCAAAGCCATTCTTCAGGACATCTCTCCTTACGTGTTAAATACATTCCCTTGCACAGAAGTTCTTCCCCATCCGTGTTCACAGCAATCCTCTCCAGCAGCACACCAGGTTTGTTATCTGTCTCACAGTGATTATTTTCTTTCCCCTCACAGCTCACCTTAGCCCATTTCCTTCCTGCAATCATCTTCCTGTGAAATCAACAACACATGCAGCCAATTAAAATTTCAAAACCAGGTCCTCCCTTGAGGGCATACCTGCTTTCAAGCCCAGCAGGGCAAAGCACAGTTCACCAGCTGGGAATCTTGGGAATGGGCATCTTGGGAATGTGGTGGGCAGCACCCACAGACAGACCATCTCCATTTCAATCACCAAACCAACAAATGTGGGAACTGCCTAGCTAACAAACTACTGATTTATTTGTGTTGCATCTAGGGAAGAGAGACAGCATATAATTTTGTATTGGAACTACACTGTGCCATAAGCAGCTCATGGCACTGGGACTAAAAATATCCAAGTTATTGGCTTCCCACTCGTACTGGAGGGACAAATCTTGTGCCGAAGAAGCTCTTTTTCTTCCTATTCTGTCACACATATGAGGAAAATGCTGGGGAAGTTTTTGCTTCTCTTTCCTAAGTATCTGCTTGTTTAGTATATATGCTGTTTTTAAGGGTATTAAAGTTCACCACTTTCCAGACAAAATGCCACTGTTCTTACACAAAATTTTACTGCTTAGAGAAGAAGCCACATAAGGGTTAAATGTCCAAGGCTGGGAGCACAAAATCAAGTGGGGATTGTAACTAAGGGGCAACCAGGCTCCCTTCCTGCTCAGTCACACTGCTGTCTGCACTGCAATGATTTCATTCACCAAAACACGGCCATGGACAAAGAACGGACTCTGCAAAAACAGCCCCTTATCTGCTCCTGCCTGCCTCTTGTCCAAGTCATGTGTGATTAGTTCCCTGACACAAACACCCCTCTGGAGCCAAGGCAGCTGCAAGGCAAGCTGTGCTCTGATACAGCTCATGCCTCTAAGGCAGTGTGAGAGCAGTAGCTACTGTCTAGCTGAGCCCAGGAGCTTCACTGTTTATGGAGCTGGAAGAAGAACAGTGTTTGATTCTAAGGGATCAAGCAGACCTGGTTGAGCTGGCAATCAAAATTAAAAAGTCAGTCCTGGTTCGTAACAATAACTGTGGTGAGTATGAAGTAAAGATTGGCTGTAGGGAACAAACACAGGACTGAGAAAAGTAATTCCCAGGTGGTGTTTCACTGATTCTTTAGGTTTAATTTGTTGATAGGAAGCAAAGGGGTTCAAAGTACTTGGGGCTGGGGGATGAGGAGTAGGTGGCAATGGAGCAAGTCTCTAAGTGCCATAATTCCAACCACTTATTGTTTAAGCAATTACTCCTCTGAAAATTAAAACTGTGGGGAGCTTCATTTCAAATATACTTCTTCTGTGTGAGTTCTTGGATATCTGCTGTGCAAGAAGCTCTGCAGCTGCCTTTCTGTGAGTGAGGCACTGGTAGGCTTTCTTCATTCTACCCAAATAGTATTTTCATTAACATTGATAGGAGCTTGTTCTACTGGAGATCTCTTGTCCTCTGTCAGCCCTGGTTGGAATTAGACAACAGGAGGAAAGATTTGAGAAGACAAGGTTAGAATCATCATCATGATGCTTGGCAGTCATTCCATCAGCATTCATTCCTGCCATGAATGGACCATGGAAGCATGGATATAATATATGCCAAGTAACTGACTTTCTGTCATGCTGCAGAAGCTTTTCCAATACAAGTGTAATTATTCCAGTTTGAAATATCAATTCCATGCCATTTTTAAGTTTCAGCTTCAGAAAGTTCATTGAAGACCTTCACCTTTTATTTTCTTGCAGGCTTAAAACATGAAAAGCAAAGCAAGCACACCCTAAAAGCTCAAGGAAAAAAAGATCAACTAGCAAACAAACAAGCAAAAAATAACCAGAATACAGAGCATTCAAGAAAGACCTCAGCTTTTATAGATGTATAAACTCAAGAGTTTTAGGCCAGTAGGATTTTTCTGGGGAGGGTATCTCTGCCACACAACAGTGTTTGGTGTTAAATAACCAAGAGATGCCTCAATACTTCCTTAGTTAACAGTAATGAGGTTATCTATAAACTTTTGTTAGTGCTACATTTTCTGACCTGGTAGGACAGCTTATTATGGTGTTGCTATGACATCATTTTCTAGTTTTTTTTAACTACTTGATGGTGTTTCTAAAGAATCTTTGAAAACTAAGACTAAAACTTCTTTTCCCTTATCTGCTTTTTAGCACTTACACTGGAATATGACCCAGTAGGCAAAATGTTACTCATTATCAATTATTCTGGAAGGAAAATGGTTTAGCTGATAAAGCCATTAGAATCATGTTTATAGTTTCAAAGGGCAAATAACTAAACAATTCAGCACAGTAAACAAATGCTTAACTTTCCTAAAGAATGGAAAATACGTGTAATGTTAAGGTTGTTCAAGTTTTTATGAAGCAAAGACTCACTGCATAAAAGAAGTTGAAAGGCAATGATGAAAGCAGAAACTGGAGACCGTGACACAGGACCCACAGGGTCTGAGGATGAGACACAGGCTAAAGGCCAGTCACTGAGGCCCAGATTCATCCCATTTAACTTCAGGCACTTAAATGAATTGGCTAATGTAGGAAGCTGGGCTCACTCATTAGACAACATAGAGAAAAAAGCTTCTTCAATGAGAATTGAAGCACAGCCAGAACTAACATTTCTCTTTACTACATGTAAGAGAAGTTTAAACTCTAAAATTCAGTGATGTTTCTAACCTGAGACCTCACTTAATTGCATAAAGTTACCTCCCAGCCATCCCAGACTCGAGTCCAGCTGTCTCCACTGCAGCCTAAATGGCTTCATTCCATTCAATGGCTAAATTCCTTCTCCTGTATCCAGCAGAGAACAGTTTCTTCCTCTCTTTGCAGGAGCATTTTACACTGTCATTGTGTCCCCTTAGTGATGTCTCTGGAGTAAACAAACCCAGTTCTTTCATTCTTTCCACTCCAGCTACAGTGTCAAGGCCTCCGGTTGTTCTCATTGCTTGCTTTTGGGATCATGCCACTGGGCTCACACATTTCTAAAAGGTGACGCCTAAACCTGGACACAGACATTGCCAGTAGGCTAAAGCCAGGTGTTTATTTGCCACTCTATTTTCAATAGAGCAGAGGGATTACTTTATGTCTTGCATGCAACTCCTGCTCCTGGTGATTGTGCAAGCGCAGCCACCACTCCCCAGAGGCCTTGCAGCACGTCAGGATTATCAGACCTCTTCACTGAGACAGAAACAAGGGCCCTGCCCCCTTAGTCCTGCTCCCACAAGAATGTCTTTTCATGGTATGGTAACTGGTGCCAAGAGTAATAAGAGCAGGAAATGGGCATAAAGAGGAAAAGACAAGTTCATTGCAATCAGAGGCACCAATCCCACAGGCCGAGCACCAGTGGAGATGCTGAAGTTGCCAACCCAACCTTGCAATGTTCCTTCTGGGCAAAGTCATTTCTCCTGTCTGACCCTTTGATTCCCTTCCTAACTTTGACCCAATGAATGTGATTAAGTCTGCAACAGATGTGATTTCAGAAACAGTTGAATGAGAGGTGCCCAGAACTGGGAAACAGTGAGATGCCCTAATGCTCACGTCAGAAGCCCTCCTGTGTTCCTTCCAGAAGTGCCTCTCATGGGTTGGAGGCTCATCCTTTGGGGAACAAAAGCAGTGCCATATGATATGGTTTGCAGTGACCCACGAGTTCTGTGGACAGTGCATGAGGAACAGCAAACACGCAGGCATCAGGAAGGCGAAGAGTTCATAGAGAGCCTGTGGCCTGAAATGTGTTTGCATAAACAATCTCCCTGAATTATTATGAATAATTAATGCGTAAAAAGTCCCGAACTCATTCCTGGACGGTCTGCAGAACAGAAGGATAAATAAATCATAAGGAACAAGGTGTTTGCTGAGTGACAATAGCTAAGCTAACTACAAGCTTAGCAGTTTCAGATTGCAAGGCTGCAGTGAGCAGCCTGTGGTTATTGTCAAGAACAGTTTGAACACAAGGGTGCCTCAATAACAGCTTTTATATTTAAAATAGTCATAATATTCTGTCTATAGGAGACCTTTCAGATGAGGACTGCAAAGTGGTTCACAGCTATTCAGAATCACAAAAGCCCAGTGAGAGCAAAGAGAGTATTTATTAGATACAATTATGGCTTTGTTACTAATTCATTACAAATTTGTTGGCAGATGCAAGATTTTGCTACTCAGATATGAGGAAGTTATATGCATTAAGTCTAACAGCTAATATAGAAAACCTTAAAAAAAAAGGCTATTCTTCTGTTTTGTCCAAAAACATTGTATATAAAAAAGCAGGCATATCAAGAATATCTTGCAAGTGGCCTTTATGTTACTTGGTCATAGATTAATTTAGCTTGAAACCATAGTGAGGTATTTGTACATTATTAAATGCCTTGCTGACTGAAGAGGGTTGGGGGAAAGGGAGGTGTGGTTAAACTGACTTCAAAATCAGGCTCTAACAATGAAAATTGAGATAAGACTCAATAATAACTTTGCTTCATCAGACACTGAACAAAACGGGAGAGGGGTCTGACAGGAAGGCTTTGTTGGGTGTGGGGGAAATTCACTGATGGCTTCATCCTGCAAGGGGCTCAGTCCTATCCAATCTTCCCCAAATCAGTGTAAATCTGACCTAGCACTACCAGGCTGGATCAGAGCCTGCACTCTGCCAGTGCTGCTGGTGTTGTGGCTTCACTGTCCAGGATAAAGTCTTTGGGGACCTGGCAGCAGCAGCACCATGTGCCAGGGACAGTGAAGGGTCTGGCTGGAGCTGCCAGCACCGGACCCACAGCGGATCGTGAGCATCCAGAGCACTGCCACGCTCCAGCACCCACACAACACAGGGCTTTAAACACAGGAGACTCATTTAACTCAAAAAAATACTCTAGGACAAGTCATGATGAAAAGAAAGACACTGAGACAAAAATCAGACTCACTGATTAAAGGGTCACTTCAGCTTGCCTTTTTTTTTTTCTTTCCCTAGTTAAAACTGTTAAGACCATAATTATGTTACTGAAAGATGTAGATATATAGCTTTAAATCCTGACCAGATTTCCAAAAGTACAGAACACATATTTATCCACTTTACCTCCAGTAAACAGGGGAATGCTGGGCACTTCACCTTACCATACCAGGTGTCTGTTTCCAGATGCAAACTGAAGAGATATTTCCCAATAGGTGGTACCTAAAAGGGGACTTGCCATCAGAAATGTTGCTTGCAGAGCTGGAGTATCATAATTTAATTTGTAGTTACAAATTTATAAGCAAACACATGAAAAGTGAGGCAATTTACCACCATCTTACGATGATTTTATGACAGACTGAATAAATAAAAAAGGTGCATGCCCTGGCCCACAGCTACTGAAAAGCAAAAGATGCAGAGGTGACAAAAAGCTTAATCCAAAGAAGCAGTTCCACCAAGAAATGGTCAGCAGAGGTGTCTTGTAACCAGTAAGAAGAGGTTATTAGCAGCAGATGTGTTACTGTGAGCATTGTTTTAAACACTGGGAATGTGTTTAGAAGGAGGTACCACAGGATTCCAGCACTTTTTCTTCCCCACTTGCCAGAGGCTCTGCTGCAAGTCAGTCAGGGCAGTGCATTTACTGATAAGGGGTGATCTGACCCACACTAGGGGTAGGTGCAAGTCAACCATTTATTCTGTGATGATTGAAGCCCAGCAGTTTTCACTCAGTGACAGGCTTTGACTACATCTGAGGTTCATGTTAAGGAGGTTTAAACTTCTCCAGTAGTTTCCAGAAGACAGGTATCAAAGACATTTATCAGAGAGGTACAAAGCAACAGGTTAGGGAAAAGAAAAACCAACATGGAATGAAACTAAAGTTGTTGCAATATATTTTTCTAAGATTATTGTTAATATCTGGGTTTTCTTATGCTACTTGATAGCAGCCTTGCATGGCTCTGCAAGATCCCCATCTAACACTGATGCATCCTGCTATTTCTTCCTCTTTTAGCTAATCCTGTATTTATTTGCACCAAATAAAAGCAGTCACAGAAAAAGCCTGTCACTGAATATTTTAAACTGACAAAAAAGATAGGTTTCAAAACTAAAATTTGCAATTCAGAATCTCCCAAAACCTTATAAAGGCATTCTTAACACCACATAAAAAGAACAACTATTTAACTTTTTCACATGCAGTGACACAATCTCAGCTCTTCAGAGATCTTTCCCATGGTACTGCCCTAAGTTAGCATGAACCACAACTGACTTTTCTTGCTTAAAAAAAAATCCAGAATGTATTTTCTCGCAGTGGGAGCCCTAAGCCATGTCCCTACAGGATCCAAGGCCTCAGTGCTGCATCTGGAGACACTCAGCCAACAGCACTGGGCTGACCAGACCTCTAAATCAGTGGCAACCATCGCCCACCATCACAGCAGCTGGAGCTGCCCCCTCAGCCGTGCTGCTCGAGTCAGTCTTTGGCCATTCAGAAAATAGATACAGATTTCCCACACATCCAAAAATGCTGAATGAGTCTTTTTGAATATCCCAGGCACTTGTTTATGTGCTCTAGTTATCCGTGATGTGAAGGGGAAAGAAATGGTCTCTGGATTCCACATTTCACCACCCAGCATGGTGCTGGACACCGAAACACTGCTGCTGTGCCCTTGCATCAAGCCCACACCTCAAGATGTGGTTTTAAGGTGCTAGGTTTTTACCAGGTAAAATGTGAGGGGGAGTTTCCCAAAGCATGCTACTGTCATCCTACAGATGGGTAAGCATCAGGATGGAGAAATAAGGCAACTTCTTGCAGCCAGTATGCATTGAAGCAGGAATAGACTAACATGAAATCTCAGAGAGCTCAGTCATCACTCCTCTGCTGTCATCTCTGACCACAATCTCTCTGTATAAACAAAGGCTCTGGCCACTGCAGGGTTTTCTGGCCTGTTGTAAAATGTTTTGCCACCCTTCTCACAGGAACTGCTGATGCTTAAAAAAGAGGCAACTTTTTCTCACAGTGACAGTGTATCTGTGGAGGGGTCAGAATGTCAAGAAAGTATAGGGGGATGCAGACAGGAAGACCTGGCAACTTGAGCAATCAGTCAGTTGTAATCCGGATTAATGAGCACATTATTATTGCTCCAGATTAATATTAGTCCAGATTGCAAATAAAGTCCATTCTGGGAGAATTGAATGGTGTTGGTCAAACTCAGCCTTCTTATGAATTTTGACTTTTTAGCAACAATGAAACAGGTTTCAGGAGACAAAAAACATGACCTGGCTATTCTTCAGCACTGTTTTTCTCAGTGTGTGAGAGGGAAACAGAAAGATGTATTGCATCTCTTTTATCACCTGAAGGGAATTAATGAATCAGCATGATTGTAACACAGTGTCTTGATGACAAAAATATTCCAAACAATGGCTGGGTTGCTGTGACATGGTCTTCCAGAGCATCAGGATTTATTTATGGGTGTTATTGGTTTGGAGCTTTTCAAAATGTTGGTGTGCTCAGTCCTGTACATGCTAAACATCATTTCAGCCACAGCCCTTGAGTGAACTAATAATTAATGAATTAATGACTTTGGACTCCCAAAGCCAAAATCAGCGTGTGCTTCCTAAGGTAGCTCACACTTGTACACAGCATTCCCCATGGAATTATGGTATCACACACACAGCATAGGGCTGGAAAGCAGGGCCACTTCTGTTCCTTGATACTTTTGCTCTATATTTTCATGATATTATTTAACTAAAATCGACTACATACAGTATTTGGAGCACTGTCACATGTGCTCAGGAGATAATGTCAATGGAATTGCGTGTTGTCACAGGATAACAGCCTCCTGCTGCTGCTGAAATGCCAAATTAAAGCCGAGGCATTTATGGAAAATAAACGTCAAGTCAAAGCCAAGATGTTTATTTTAAAAACAAGAGACATGGATCTAGTGGCAATGTTCCATCATGTCTCTATTTCTCTAATAACAAATGTCCAGTGTGAATAGAGCCAAGTGATGATTTCTTCCTGGGCCGTCAGGGGGAGGGTGAAGCCTGCTCACTTCACATGAGGACTCACAGAGTTGCTTCTCACCTGCTTTCCTGCAGGTTTCAGTCAGCTGTCCAGGTAGCAAACACAAATGGTTTATCAGATATCTGCATGCTAAATTTGCAAAGAGATTTAGGAAGACAGCAGGAAGAAAAATGAACAGCAAATGCATTTTTAATTTGCTTTTAGGTAGTTCTTTTTCTCCAGAGAAGGAACGACAACATGAGGCTCCCTGAAATCAATGGGAGGATTTCCAGGCTTTTCAGTGGACTGATTAATGCCTTAAGGGAACAAATAGCTCATCTTTCTAGAGGGCATTATGTTAATAAGAGTGGTCCCTGAATTTTATTCGTGAAGGCATGGCTGGACCAAGACTGGGCAAGGAAGGCATGATCCTTCTGGGTCATAAGGGGCACCATGAGGCACAGAGCTCAGAGCATCCTGGAGCATCCAGGATGGCCTACAGCAGCAAGTCAGAGCTGGCAACAGCAAATCCACTGCCCTAGCTACAGCCACAATGAAGGAAGGGGTTAATCCCAGTGCACAGCACCATTCCCAAATTCCTGCCCCATTCCTGGTGCTGCTGGAAGGGACAGAACCCATTCCACAGGACCCTCACCTTGCAATCTGTTTTGCATGGAGGGAGGTACACAAAAACAAGCTGGAAGCTGTGCAAAGCATCTCCAAGGACTGGGTTTAAAAATACACCCAGGAAATACACTTCAGTTCCTGAAATGCTGAGGTTTCACAGCTCATGCCAATAGGGTTCCTGAAATGCAGCACATTTTGATTCTCATTGGATCTACCTGTTATCCTCTATGCAATATAAGACTGATCTCTTCTAGGAACTACTGACAGTTTGGGCTCTCTTTTTCATTTTTTTTTTAAACTTCCTGAGGAAAAAATAAATTAGTTGCTCATTAAAAACCATGATTTGGAGAGCAAGTAGAAACAAACCATTTTAGTGCTGTAAGCTCTTCTCTTGACCTAACCTAACATCCTTAACTAATATGCAAACAAAGGGAAGTATTTAAATCATGTTAAAGAGCTGTCTGAAAGGAAGAATCAAACCAAAAAACCTAACAAAACAAAACAAAAAACACAACCAAACAAAAATAAACAAAAAAAAACCCAAACAAGGAAATTTGGAGTTAAAGGAGATTTACAAAAGGTAATGCTCTGTAAAGGGGTTAAATCTAAAGTGAATATTTGGCTGCTCTGTGTTGCAAGGGCCAGAGGGATGTTCTGTACAGAATCCGTAAACTTGCTTATTTTTTCCTTTGGAGATGCATTGTTTCCCAAAGACATTCTGGCTCCAGCTCTGATCTGGCATTCCAGATTGACGCGTGTGGAACCAAGAAAGACACGGAGAAGCAACACACAATTATGTGTCTTCTGTTTTATTGCGTACTTGCTAATAATTTCCTTTACTCCTCCAACCTTTAAGCTTATCTTCTCTTATGGTGGGAAGAGACCTCCTGCTGGAGATCTGATAGGACAGCTCAATAGGCAAAGAGCTGGCATTTTATTAGTTTACGGTATTTATTAACTGTATAAAGATATTACAGCCATAATGGATCTGGACAGATGACAGATGGATGGTGCTCCAGGAATAGCAAATAAAACAGCTGCAGGCTATCCCCACCACTGCTTCACTATCATCTTGGGAAAAATATTTAAGATTTTATCAGAATTTTTTCTGGCTGATTTTATGCTAAAATGGACTGTACACATTCACAAAATTCATCCAAGCATCTTGTCTGTGAAGGTTTTTGTGCAATGATGCATCATGGACCTCATACTTACTTTAAGCATTCCAGCTAAATGTAGAAAAGAAAAAATTGTTTCTATCCCACAGCTCCACTAACCTGGTTTCATATTATTACTTTTTTTTTAGATCAGGATTACAGATACCAGACCTGGGCAAATACTCCTAGAAACAGCCCTTCTGCTTTTCATTTGGCATAAGATCTCCCTCTGTTCTTGAAGATGTCATGCTTCCTTCCCTTCCCACTAAAGAGGGTCATGCTTTGGTCCAGCAGATGACGAGCAGCAAAGCAAAGTCCATGGGAACATGAGGGAATGGTTTGCCAAGCAGCAGGTCCATGCTGGTGTGTGGCCTTTAGTCAGGGTTAAATAAACACTGTGTAAATAAATAAATAAATTTTCCCCAGGTTGTGACCTTGTAAATCAAGCCTAAGCCTAGAAGGGATTTTTATGGGCCAGCTGGAACAGCAGAGCAGTCTTAGCAGAATAAATATATAGGGGGAAGAAAATAACTGTGCCTTCCAGTTGCTCCCAGAGTGCTGTGGGGAACATTTGGTGCTGCTGTAAAGACACGCCAAGGATTTAAAAGGCAGGAGAGAAGGGACATTGTTCTCATTTACTCTGTGGTTGCTCCACATTATTTTAAGAAGTTTAAAACAGGACTAAAATGCAGTAAAATGCAGTCTTACAGCTTCAGAGCAGAATAGAGAATTTCCACAGGTGAATGGAAATCTAACCAAACAAGTTCCTAGCAGCAGGTTTCACAGAAGGGGATGGGATCTGGGCAGGACTTGCTCAGTTGGTTATCCGGGCATTGCAGCCTCCTGATGTTTCAGTAATTTACTGCTCATTACCAAATAATGGTACTAACATCATTAATACTTCGAGCAGTCCCTAGATGCAGTGCGTTTGACCAGACTGCATTAAAGCTACTGCACACATTTTTGAAAGTCCAGAGACACTCGTTCAATACAGCAGAGAAAAGCTGGAAAAGGGAGCTCCCACCTCCCAACCCTGCAATGGCTTGGTCCAGCAGGGCTGGAGGAGACGGGAAAAAGAGGATTCACAATGAGGAGATGCAGGGACAAGCGATATCCGCAGAGCTGGGAGAGGAGGCACTGGGGACAGGGGGCTTGCAAACGCGACGCTTGTGCCTGATGGGGACATCCAAAGGGATGCAGCCAGTGCTGGCATTTTGCTTTTTCCAGGGGTAAAAAGAAGTAGCTTCTGCTCCAGAAGCCGGTAGGAGGCCACCCTGCCTGTATCCCCTGGCTGCCCTGCGGCTGCCAGGCACAGACACCCCTTGCCCAGGACATCCACGCTGCAGTGAGGAAAGGGGGCTCTGTGCTCAGCAGCCGCCGGACAGGCAGAGCATAGCCAGAGCGAACACGGGGGATCCTGGAGAATTCGGGGCGGTACCGGCAAGAATGGGGCAGGAATAGGGTCAGAGATAAGCAAGGATAGGGGAGGGATGGGGCAGGGATAGTGGCAGGGATAGTGGCAAGGATAGGGGCAAGGATAGGGGCAGGGATGGGGCAGGGTAGGTGCAGGGATGGGGCAGGGATGGGGAAGGGATGGGGCAGGG